GGCCTGCTGTATTCATCCAGCTCTACACCTTGTTATCACAGTTTGTATTAGCTTGTTGGGCAGCATCAATTAGGATGATTGGGAGCTATGCAAAACACATCAACTCTTCTCGGAAACTCATGCAGAACTCATCTGCCTTTACCCAAAGTCTATGTGCCATGAATAGATTGTACGGGGCTTAATTCATCCTCGTCTCCGACATTATCTCCTTCAGAACCATTATCTTATGCAAGTTTCATCACTGCATGATTACTGGCGGATTCAGGTCAGTTACTAATGAGTCTCTGTGGGACAGACAATTGGAAATTATGGCATATGGAAATAATGTGGTGATTCTCTCAAAGAAATAACATAAATTTACAATTTTAATCTCACTGGGCTTTTTACTAATTTCTATACAGCAGCAGGTTGGGCAAACCTCTGCAGAATTTCAGTACCCTAGATTTTGGAACAGTCTCAGACAATTGGAAGACAGCAAACATTACATCTCCATTCAAAAAAAAAGGAAGAAATTGGATGCTAGGTCATCAAATTTAAGACATTGGGAAAATATTAAAATTCATTGTTTAGGATGTAGGCAATTAAAGGGAGGTGATAGACTAGTGGTAATGATGCTGGACTGTTAATCCAGGGACCCAGGTTTGAATCCTGCCAAGACAAATGATGGAATTTGAATTAAATAAAATCTGGAATTAAGAGTCTCATGATGACTAGTAATCCATTGTCAATTGCCAGAAAAAAAACCCCATCTGGTTCACTAATGTCCTTTATGGAAGGAAACTGCCATCCTTATCTGGTCCAGCCTACATGTGACTCCATACCCACAACAATATGGTTGACTCTGAATTACCCTCTGGGCAATTAGGGATGGGCAATAAATGCTGGCCGTAGCCGGTATGCCCTCACCCTGTGATGAATAAAAAATGTAGCAGAAGATTCAGTTAATTTTGTGATTCCCCACAGTCTGGTTTGCAGGTATATTTGGTGGGGTGGGATCTGGGAGAGGAGGCATTGGATGGGACCTGGGGAACAGGAGAGGGGTGAGGCAGGAGACAGCATGGGGGTAGTGTTGGGGGTTGGGGGTGCGGTGTGTTCTCCTTACTTGCCGCTGCTGAAAGCTGTTTCATAATTGCTCGCGCTTCTTCTCTATGCATATGTGGCCTTTGCGCATGATGCCACATGTAAATTTTTGTGATGACCTGTTGGGTCTGGAATTGTGCACATGCACAATGGCCTGCGATTGTGGGTGCCAACAGACATTTCTTTTCACTGCTTTTTTAAAGTTAAGTGTGTTATAATAGTTATTTTTCTGTTACTGAAGAAACCTGGTATAAATTGCTTTTGTCCTGAATAGCCATCAGTTAGGTGAATTGGTCACTTTGGTGGAGGTTGAGTCAATTGGTTTTAAAGTCATTGGTATTTAAAAGAAAGGGTGATCTTATTGCAACAGGATTTAGACGGGCCTTGGTAGAGAGGATACTTTCCCTCATGGATGGATATAGAACAGTTTAAAAGTAAGGAAACTCCCATTCAAGAAGGAGATGAGGCGAATTTTCTTCCCTCAGTCTGTCATTAGTCTTTAGAATTCTCTGCCACAGAGACCCTTCCTTCTGACCTGAAATGTTAACTCTGATTTCTTTTCGTAGATACTGCCAGACCTGCTGAGCATTTTCAGTAATCTCTATTTTGTTTCTGATTTACAAAATCAGCAGTTCTTTTGGTTTTTACTAAGATCACTCCTGGTTGCCTTTTCTCTGCTGTAACCATTCTCACCTTCTGCAGTTTCTCTCCATAATTCAAGTTCCTAAACCCAATTTAAGTTGTTCCTCACTGCAACTTCTTCAATGCCTGGATGTCTTTGTCAATCTGATTGGATTATAGACAGGATTTCACGTCTTGCCAAACCAGCATTCTACAGAAATCAGAATCGCTTCTTGAGAGTTGTATTCTATTTCTATGATGATAGAATTCAAGATCCTATTTGCGAAAATTCCTCCCTCCTTCCTATCTCTTTCAGTTTGATATCATCAGCAAACTTAGTAAGCTGTTTCTGTTCAGAATATTCACAAATCTAACAGAACAAGCAGCATTGATCTGAGACATGCCAATAATCCTTGCAACATCTCACTAATTGCTTTCATGACGATCTTTGGTTAGGCCACTCTTGGAATACTGCGTTCAATTCTTGTCTCCCTGCTATAGGAAGGATGATGTGAAACTTGAAAGGGTTCAGAAAAGACTTACAAGAATGTTGCCAGGGTTGGAGGGTTTGAGCAATAGGGAGAGGCTGAAAAGGCTGGGACTATTTTCCCTGGAGCATTGGAGGCTGAGGAGTGACCTCATAGAGATTTATAAAATCACGAGGGGCATGGATAGAGTGAACAACCAAGGCCTTTTCCCCAGGGCAGGGGAGTCCAAAACTAGAGGGCGTAGATTTAAGGTAAGACGGTAAAGATTTATAAAGGACTTGCGGGGCAACTTTTTCACACACAGGATGGTGTGTGTATGGAATGAGCTGCCAGAAGAAATGGTGGAGGCTGGTACAATTACAATATTTTAAAAGGCATCTGCATGGGTATATTAATAGGAAGGGTTTAGAGGGATATAGGCCAAATGCTGGCAAATGGGACTAGGTTAATTTAGGATATCAGGTTGGACTGAAAGGTCTGTTTCCATGCTGTAAAATTCTGACTATGACTGACTCTAGTTCTGCATGAAAAGTATTTCTGCTTCATTTCAGAAGCATACTACCAACTTTACAGACTAATCTCCTGCTTCACACTTTTTCAAAATCTAGATAAAACAGCATTTATCATATCTATGCAATTCATCTTATTGTTGAAATACAAGAGCTTCATTTAACATAAAATGGAATTTGTGACTGATGCTCTATACTGATGGAAAAGTGCATTTCATACTTTTGTGTTGTGCCTGAGTCATTAGCTGTATCTGTGCAGTCATGACATGAAGTTTACATTTTGTTTTCTTCTTTTCTATAGCAAGACGTAACAATGAAAACCCAGACAGAAACCGAACAAGAAAATGATGCGAAGTCAACTGCGAATCAAAACAGTTTTCAATATTCTATCCTGAACCAACCTGCAACTAAAAAAGGTAGATGCATTGCGTGCTTATGAACTCCCCAAAGCCACAAGATTGGCTATTTCTACCCACTAGCTTCTTCACTTCTGACTTCACCCAACACTTCTTGATGTCAGCTATGTGTTAATTGTAGCAATCATATCTTCCTCACTTCATCATTGCACTTGAGATCTTGATTGGTCAAGGAAATCTCTGACCTTTACCATTCAGCACCCCTATCATCCTCCAATCTACAATTCCCACTTTCTGATCTTCAGCTCCTTCACAAATTCCCAGCCTTCATCTTTGACCAAGCAGAAAACAGCTAGGACTATGGACCTAATCAATCACTGTCTCACCTCTGCCATTTAATTCTGTCACCTTGCAGATAGAGCCATAGGAGTATACAACATTGAAGCTGGCCCTTTGGCCCAACTCGTTTCCTGGTCCCAACCAGGTTTTATAGAGTCAGAGAGCCATACAGCTTGGAAATAGAGCTTTCAGTCCAACCAGTCCATGGCAACCATAACCCCAAACAAGCTAGTCCCACCTGCCTGTGCTTTGCCCAAATTGCTCCAAACATTTCTTATTCACGTACTTATCTAAACGTTGTAACTGTAGCCACATCTACCACTTCCTTTGGAAATTTATTCCACACATGAACCACTCTGTGTTTTTAAAAAAAAAACATTGCCCCTTGTGTCTTTTTTAAATCTTTCTCCTCTCACCTTAAAAATATTCCCCTCTACTCTTGAAATCCCCCAACCTAGGGAAAAGACACCTGCCATTCATCTTATCTACACTCCTCATGATTTTATAAGCCTCTATAATGTCACCTCACAAACTCTTACGCTCCAGTGAAAAAAGTCCCAGCCTATCCAGCCTGTACTTATAACTCAAATCCTCCATTCCTGGCAATGTCCTGGTAAATCTCTTCCGAACCCTCTCCAGCTTAATAATATCTTTCCTGTAAAAGGGAGACCAGAACTGGACACATCAGTTCTGATGAAGAGTCAATGGACCTGAAATGTTGATTCTGCTTTCTCTCCACCGATGTTGCCAGATGTCCTGACTTCCTCTCGCAATTTCTGTTTTTGTTTCAGATTTCCAGCCTCAGAAGTTCTTTGTGTGACTTAATTTGGATGTAGAATGTAGAGGTGTAGACATTAGGTATTTGATTCGTTTAGATGAATCAAAATCAGAAATTACTGGAAAAACCGAGTAGGTTTGGCAGCATCAGTGGAGAGAAAGCAGAGTTAACATTTCATTAATCCTTCTTCAGAACAAGTTTTTCATTTCATTTTTCATTTTCTCATGATTTAGTTTGACTGCCATGTACAGTTTGATTAGCCTTTGTCTGATGAAAATTTCATCTTTTTTCCCAGGACCTATTGGCCTAATTCTCATTGTTGCATCTGTAATTGCTTCTGTAAGTGGACTAATCTTTGGTTATGAACTGGCAAACATTTCCGGAGCTCTTCTACAGCTGAGCACTGAATTCCATCTCACCTGTGAGAAACAAGAAATAATTGTAAGTGCAATCATTATGGGAGGCATAGTGGGTTCCCTTGCTGGTGGTTACATCATTGATCGATGGGAAAGGCGGATAGGAATCGTTGTAACATCTTGCTGTTATGTATTGGGAGCTGTCATTCTATCAGCATCTACCTCCTATGCAATGTTGACTGGAGGGCGCATCATCGTGGGAATTGCTACAACTTCAGGTGTAATTGCAGCATGCATATACCTATCAGAGATTGCACCATCAGACAGAAGAGGCATGCTGGTATCTCTGACTGAATTCATGACTGTTGTTGGTGTTCTGTTTGCCTATGTTTTTAATTATACTTTTTCTCGCACTTCAAATGGATGGCGGTACATGTTTGCAATTGCTATTCCACCTGCGGCACTGCAAGTTATTGGCATATTCTTCCTTCCCCCAAGTCCTCGGTTTATGGTTAAGAAAGGAAATGATGAAAAAGCAAGCCTTGTCCTGAAGAAGATCAGATCATATTCCAATGTTGATGATGAACTGGCAAACATCAAATCTTCCCTGAGCAATGAAAACAATTGTAGGTTTGTAGATCTATTTAGGTCAAACAACCTGAGAATGCGACTCTGTATAGGACTTGGTTTGGCCATATTTTTGCAAGCTACAGGTCAACCAAATGTTTTATTTTATGCATCTATTATTTTAAGATCTGTTGGCTTTGCAAGTGATTCAACAGCAACATTAGCTTCAGTTAGTGTTGGGCTAGTGAAAGTGCTTGGCACAATTTTGGCAATGTTGCTCATTGACAAAGTAGGGCGTAAAACGTTTCTTTGCATTGGAAGTACGATTATGATAATATCATTGATTATATTGGCATTACTGATCCATAAAATCCCAATGCAGTTCACAGATATCTGCAATTATCCTAATCACACTAATCACTGGCAAGATAATATCACATCTTCAATGCATGGACAACATTCAGCAGCTGTTACTGTCTTTCCTTCAAGAATAGACTTTAGTTCATCAGTAACAAAACAAGACAATATGACAATTATGCAAAATGTATCCTCCTCGCCATTTATGGGAAGCCCTGAGACAGATGGACATAGGAATGAACCAATTTCTCCAGCGTTAAAGTGGCTTTGTCTCTGTTTTCTGCTTGTATACGTTGCTGCCTATTCTATAAGTTTTGGACCAGGTAAGCAACTCTTATGTAGAAATGAATCCTACACAGATCATGCCATTGGTTGTAAACTTTATAAACCTTTGGAGTGTAAAAGTTTAAAGGTAAATTCGCTGTAGTCGTATAAAACGTAAGGCTGCTCTGTTGTTAGAGAGATGACTGGTAGTGGTTTAACCTGCAGGTCAGGGGCAAGAGATTGAGAAGGAGAGTCCTTCATGGTAACCTCAGCCAATGCAGGAATTGAACCTGCGCTGTTGGTGTCACTCTGTATCAGAAACCAGCCAACAAGCCAACTGACCTAACCAATGCTCAACTTTACAGTTTTGAATGAGTTGGTTAAAAAAAAAATTGTGGTATAATTTTGAATCAAAATATAATGGTAAGAAACCAAAAATGATTCTGTCCTGTAGTTTGATGTCTGCTGAAATTTTTATTTGTGTTCAAAATAATGGGCAATTTGACTTGTTTGTTGTAAAAGGATTGTCAATGATACATATATTTAATCTTAGAGTACTAACACTGACTTTATTTTCTTCTGTCTTTGACTACAGTAATTTGGGTGCTGCTGAGTGAAATTTTTCCAATAGAGATAAAAGGCAGGGCTGTGGCTCTCATAGGATGCCTGAACTGGGCCTTGAGTCTACTCATTGCTTTGACTTTTCTGTCTGTGACAGGTAAGGCACATCCACAAAGGCTTTTGGCAAATCTAATTATAGGATGAAACCCAGAATTTATATCTTGGGAATAACTGTGGCTATAGATTGAACTCACCATTTATTTGACTCATTTTACTGATCAAAGCAGATTTTCCAAGTCTGACAAAAATGGGCTTGTTCTGACCCAACTTGTGGGCTCGTCTGCACCTCCCGCACAGAAATACAGTTTTCCAATGGAAATCCTGCGCTCCCTGCTATCCGTTAAATGAAAGGACCACAGGCATTGGAAACATTTGCATAGGAAACATTGGACCTGAAGGATATGTTGGAAAATCCACTCGGGAATATCTGTAGAAATGCTGCAGCTGGCCTATAAATAGTACATTGTAGCAGGACCAGAAAGCGAAATAACGGGATGCCAGGGGAATGGTAGAAAAGTTATTTCTTTTACTGTTAAAATTTGGAGATCCCGCTGCAGGAGGTATACATAGAAAGGGCAGGGCTATTTGCAACTGAAGACCACCCTCCAGCAATAGCACGGGCACAAACAGCCTCAAAGAACATCACAAACTGAGACCACATGACTGCAAATAAGGAAGAACTTTGCTGCTGACAACAATCAGGTTTATCTTCTGTATTAAGCACAAATCTTGTGGATCCTATTCACTATGAAATAATTTGGAGATGGTATTTTCATATCTTCTGGGGATGCCGTTTCCGAATTGTGTCCAATAATTGCTATGCTTCATACGCTCTTCCATCATGTTGAACCAATATAGCAAATTGCAGATTCTCAAAATGTAATGGCAGATTTCACTTGCTTGGAATTACTAGTCCTTGTAATTCATAGCCCAGATAATTTAGTTTCTAGATACCATGCACATCATGGTATTTCTTTGACCAGATACCTGCTAAACATGAATTGAACACAAAGTCATTCTTTCCATGAAGGCTAAGGTGTTGCTGTGAATGGACACTATCCTGAAAATTCCCTGTACCTGAATGGGTAGGCCTGAGGTCCACCCATTTAAATGAGGCTAATGAGCAGCAGGCAGTTTGTGGAGATTGCCAGCAAACTCATTTGCAAAGGATTTGGAATATAGGGTTTTTGACTTGCCAGCAGTAGCTTCAGGTACCTGCTTAAAAGGAAGAGATTACACAAAGCTCCTATTGAAATTCCTGAATGTTGTTGGCTCCAAGCAGGTGGGGAGTATTGCTTCACACTCCTGAATACAACGTTCACTGTAAGTGCAATCTCCACCACATACTCTGGTTTAGATATACCCCTCTCAAAACTCAGAAGTCACAGGGATCAACAGCACAAAGTCTGCGTCAGTCAAAAAAACCACCTAACTATTCTAATTCTATTTTCTACGACTTGATCCATGGTCTTGTATGCCTTGGCATCACAAGCGGACATCTAAATTTTTTTTTTTATTCGTTCAAGGGATGAGGGTGCCGCTGGCCAGGCCAGCATTTATTGCCCATCCCTAATTGCTCAGAGGGCAGTTAAAAGTCAACCACATTGCTGTGGGTCTGGAGTCACATGTAGGTCAGACCAGGTAAGGGTGGCAGCTTCCTTCTCCAAAGAACATTAGTGAATCAGATGGATTTTTCCTGACAATTGGCAATGGATTTATGGTCATCATTATATTCTTAATTCCAGATATTTTTTGAATTCAAAGTCCACCATCTGCCACGTTGGGATTTGAATCCAGGTCCCCGGGACATTAGCTGGGTCTGTGGATTAACAGTCCAGTGATAATACCTCTAGGCCATCACCTCCCCATGGGAAGTGAATGTAGTGAGAGTTTCTGCCTCTACTTCCCTTACATGCAGTCATTTCCAGATTCTCACCACCCTCTGGGTGAAAATAATTTTCCTCACATCCCCTCTAAACCTCTGGCCCTCTAACTTAGGTCTATGCCCCGGACATTAATTCCTCCACGAAGGAGAGAGGTTTCTTTCTGTATACTCTCTCTATGCCCCTCATAATTTTATTTATCTCAAAAATTTCACCATCAGCCTCCCTTAGTCTGAGGGAAAACAACGTCAGACTATGCAATCTCTCGTCATAGCTAAAACTTTGCAGCCCAGGTAACATCTTCGTGAATTTCCTCTACACTCTTTTCAGTGTAATCACATCCCTCCTATAATGTGGATTCTAGAACTGTACAAAATACTCCAGCTGTGGCCTAACTAAATTGTATATAGTTAATGTAAATTCATGCAGGAATAAGTAAAAGCCTGACTTGTGGCTTGTACAGGGCAGGCTTTGAAGAGATAGGAGATGAGTTACTCGCTACAGAAGTCCCAATCTCTAACCGGTTTTTGTAGCCACAGTATTTATATGGCCTGTTGAATTCAGTTCTCATCAATAGTATCAGCAGGATGTAGATAGTGGAAGATTCAGCTATGATAATGCCTGTAAATGTCAAGGTAAGAAAAATGGATTTTCTCTTGTTAGAGCTGGTCAATGCCTGGCACTTGCATAGCACAAATGTTACTTTGGTAATTAGCACAAGTCTAAAAGTTGTCCAGTTCGTGCTGTATTTGGATGGACTGTTTTAGTTTCTGAGGAGCTGTGAATGGTGCTGAACATTGTGCAATCACAGGCAACATCCCCACTTCTGACCTTCTGATAGACGGAAGGTCATTGATGAAACAATTGAAATAAGTACTAACCTGAAGGCCTTCTACAGAGATGTCCTGGAACTGAGACGATTGACCTCCAACAATCACAAACCTCGTTTCCAAGAATGGAGAATTTTCCCCTTTTGTCATTGACTGTAGTTTTGTTAGTGCTCCTGATGCCACACTCAGTCAAATGATGTCAAGGGCAATCACCTTTGCTTGCCCTCTGGAGTTTAGCTTTTTTTCTTATGTTTGGACCAAGGCTGTAATGAGGTCAGGAGTTGTACAGGATATACCTGAGCAATTATCCACTTTTACAGATAACATATCAGGCATGACAGCTTATACTCGAGCACAAGTACTATTGCTGGAATCAATATCCAGAGTTTTCAGTCATTTTTGGGTATCATATGGAGTGGAGTGAATTGAATTGACTGACGACTAGCATCTGTGATATTGAGGACCTCAGGAAGAGACTGTGATGGAGCGTCCACTGGAAGCATCCGCTGTCCACCAGTCTTGCACAGCTCCATTATAATGAACAAAGGTTTCCCAATAGAGGTCAACTGCCAGGCAGAGCAAGTTTGTGTTCTGTGAGCATCTTTGCTGCCTTCACACTTGCCACCACAAGCCACAGTGCAAATCCCTTAACGCAGCAAGGTCAGATGGCGGTATCATGGTAAAGTCATTGAATTAGTAATCCAGAGGTTCAGGTCAATGGTCTTGGGACATGTGTTCAATTCTACCATGGCAGCTGCTGGAATTTGAATTCATTTAATAAGTCCAGTGTTCTGAAAGGCCTTTGCAGCTAAAATGCAGCATGAGTCTGGCAAGTTCATCACAGCTTCAAATCTACCTCAACTTTTGACCAGGTATGAACAATATTGATCCATGGGATTGATGCAACATAATGTTCTTCTGCATAATGCTTCGCTGCACATTGACTTGGTCTTTAGTTATTTTTTGCCTGTCATTTCTAAGCATTATGCAAAGTGTTATTTTGTCTTTATATCTTTCCCAAACTGCCGTCCTCACCTTAGGTAAGTCTTGGATCTGATTAACCCACTTAAGAGGAAACTACCGGAAATTCTAACTAAGCTGTAAAGCATTGTACATTGTTTCTAATATTCTGTCTTTAATTTGCTAAAATAAAAGTTTAAAATCTCATGTCCCATCTCCAACACATGAGAAGTATATTGGAATTATTAACACACGAGCTGAACCAAATTGACTTAAATCTTAAGCCATTTTCCCAACGGTCCAGGTACTTAACTAGTCCTTCTGATTATGTAAATATTTATTAAATATTCAGCTGGTTGGCTGAGTGATTACTTTTAATATTAGTCAAACTAGACTAGCCAATGTCACCAAAAAAGCAACATGCTAATGTTTTGATTGCTCATGCTTCATCGACGCAGCTGAATGAACTTTTTCCATTTTATAAGCCCAGAACTCAGTGTACTGGGATAAATCACCCTTACTTCATATACATGACAACTCTCCAAGATTTATAGAATAGGACATACAATTTTCCTATCTATCTCATGTTACTGAATCAGCCCTTGGCTGGGACAGCCAAAACTTTCTTTTCTAATTGTAAAGCTAAGTAGAAAAGTCAGATATGCTAGAAATTGGACGAGAATGTGTTTCAAATGATCCCTGTATTTATATAGACTTATATTTTGTGTTAATAAGTTTCAAATATGGATAAGGAATGAGTGGAAATGGAAAACTAAACCAAGATGCAACCCAACAACTCTTCGGACTTTTTCTCCATTGACTAGAGCATAAACCAAATGATGCAAAAAGGGTCTAGGCCCGAAATGTCAGACTTCCTGCTCCTCTGATGCTGCTTGGCCTGCTGTGTTCATCCAGCTCTACACCTTGTTATCTCAGATGCAAAATGCTTCTGCCTATACCTGGATGAGTGTTCAGAAAGAACATTTAAATAAAGGCCCGTTGAGTCATTTTCAGAATATTGCCTTAACAGCCCTAGGAAGAATAAACCAAACTATTTTCAAATTACTATTTTACTAGCAGTTCAGAGACTCCAACCTTGTGCTGTATTAGATTACCAAAGCTTGCAGCAGCAAAACTGCACCCAAATGTTGGCAGTACTCCCTGGTGTACATTGTAGATTTCATTTTATATGACCATCCTGTGAGCAAATCTACTGTCAAGTATTCTCATTACAAAAATGACCAAATTTTAAAGGTAGTTTATTAGATGTAAAGCTTTGGAGATTTTTTTACAATAAAAAACCCACATCATGTACTTGTGATCCTTAGACTTCAGCAAAGCTCAGAGTGAATCTTTGTGGTGAGTAGGAAATCTGCCTTAATGGAGATGAAGCCTAATGAAAAAGTGAGACTATAGTGTCTTATCATAGTGAAATATCAGCAACCACTTCATACAAGTAATTGTTTTGAAAATTCGTTGACTAATGAGTATTGGCATCTCACTGGAGAATGTTTGGCTTTGCACTTCCAAAGATTAAATCATTATTTGAAATGCTTTAAAGAATTCAACCACAATGAGGTACTATTGACTGAGATTCTTATCACCTAAAATTAAAAGGTCACATTTGGATCAACTCAGTTGCAGTTGATGGAAAATTGAGTCCAAATAACTCAACTATCCAGCGAGTGTATTTATCACGATTAAACAAAAGTTCTTACACAGTGAATATTGAAACAGTTGAAATTTCCAAGACTAAGATCAATAGATTTTTGTTGAATGGAGTTTTCAAGAGATACATTGGCAAGTAAATGGATTTGTGATAAAGGCCAGCCAGAATTTAATTGGATAATAAACTCAAGGGACTTACTGCCTCTTCATGATTTTGTGTTCCTATTGCAGGAACATACATTAACAAAGTATTTGTTTGACAAACAAGTGGGTCCTCCACGCACAACTTTCTGCCAATTAAAAAATAACTTACAGCTGGCTGAAGCATACACTGAATTCATGTCTTTAGAGTGAACTAGTCTTTGTGTGGTAATTTTGATTTTGTTCTGATAGCAAACCTGTGGAGTGTGAAGCTATCATAAAATTGTTTTTTTCTTTTGGAAATGTGCTTACGTTTATTGTTATTTGATGGTTCCAGAATTAATTGGCCTCATGTGGGTTCTTCTAATATACGCAATTCTCAGTTTTGTTGGATTGCTTTTTATCATATTCGTTATACCTGAGACAAAAGGTCAGACCCTAGAGGAGATATCCCAACAGCTAGACCAAAGGTAAGTTGACGTAAAATCCAATATTCATGTGGTAAGTACAACTTGTCAATGAATCAGATTTAATGGTGGCCAGCATTTTGTAGTAGGCAAAAAAATTAACTAGGATGGGTAATGTCAGTGAGGTTACACAGTTGGACAGTTTCTAGCTGCCTTTGTGATGGCTGACTCAATATTCTTGGCTGTTCTGACATTTTAGGACATTAAGCTTGAAAAAGTCATTTTATTTTGTTCTAGTTCTTACAATAATGCAACAGAATTAAACCATCTTCAGTTTATTTCTTAAGCTGATTTTTATAAGTCAAGCTTTATCAGTATGTAGACTTTACTTATGCAAGTTCCAATTTAATCATGAATGGGAGGATAATGAAGGCAGTAAAGCACAGAAAGGCCAATTACTAAACTGTTTTTGGTTTTCTTCATTAGGCTGACCCAATGGCAAGTCAGTGTAATAAGAGTGTTATATAACTTGTTTATTGCATTATGAGGTTGTCTACTAATGAAAACAAATGTCATAGGCCCTTCAGCCCTAAATGACCCTTACGGAAACTAGAAATAGGCAATAAATGGAGGCCTCGGTTAAAGAGCAGAAGGTGCTAGTAATATGCAATAGTTCTGAATTAAATGTCCAGGGCTAGTTCAGGGTGGAACAAGGCTGCAGAGGTATGAAAACAAAGGTAAAGGTTTCAAATTCAATATCATGGACATGGGAAGTCACTGGAGCTTGGGAAGGATGGATATGAAGATTGTATGTGATTTTGGGTAGAAAGGAGCAGTAGCAATTTTGAATAGTTGAAGTATCTGTTGTGCAGGGCCAAAGACATATAAAGAATAGACACAAGAAATCACCTCTCAAGATTATGAATCTGTGCCATATCTTTGGGAAGAAGATCACCCATGAGTAACATTATGAAAGTGAAAATTTGGGCCTAGCAACAGACTGGTAATAGAGTATTGTACAAGTTGGCAAATTGTGTACCATATGGCAAGCCATGCAATAAGCTGTGCTTTGCATCTCCACTATCATTCTCTAACCTTTCTGCTGTCGGTTCATCTGTCTTAAATGAGCTACAATTCTTTCCAGCTAAATAATCAACATCATTGGTTGGTTAATTTGGTAAATAGGTGAAAACAAGATCGAAATATGTGCAGTGTAAACATGTTTGCTTTAATAGCTGGTTTTAGCACAAGTTCTCCCTAATTGCTGATAATTATAATTTGAATTTGTCTGGGGATGTTCAGAGATTTCTGCAGGTTTAGCAATGAACTGCAGATCAGATCATTTTTTTCTGTGGAGCAGTAAATGTGTGATCTCCACATTCACTTCCACTGACAGTGTACCATCTGAAATATTGTAGAAACTTTCAGGATTCCTTTCGGACTGAACAAGGGGGCATAGTGGACATAGCACTATATATCCTGAGGATGACCTGCGAAGGACAAATGTCCTATCGATGTGATGATGTGGGAAGGGGGAGAAGCACTCCTCTTCACCCTCCTGCTCCTCCCCCTTGTAGCAGCTGGTGCTGTTTCACCCATGGCCTCCTCCCATTCCTCTTGCACAACAAGAGCGCCCTCTATAGCAAATTATAGGTGACTCCAAGAAGGTAGAATAGTACAGCACTCATTCACTTCAGATTAAATCCTGAAAGTATTTTCAGAACAAAACTCACTAAAGTCTTTACAAAGTATCCCAGAACATCTTCCAAACATTTTGTTTTCCCAAACTCCAGCAGCAAAAGAATAGAAAGATCAAATATCTTGACATAATATTTGAAATTCTCAGAAATTATTATTTTGCATGTGTTAAACTAGTTGCAGTGAAGATTAATTAAGTGCTATCCAAAAAAAAATGGTGTGCCTTCTCTTGAATAAGCATTGGTAGGAAATTTAAATGTCAGTCAGCCCTTTAGCAAGCCTTGGGCCTCTATTGGTACCAGCTTCAACTTTCCCTACTAAGGCAGCAACTTTTGTCAAAGCTGGGATTAACTGGTATTTCAGCAATCTACAATTTCTCAGACAGGAATTCAGCTGGTGTGAAATGTCAGCAAACTGCCACTTGTACCACTCTTTGACTGATTATAATGGCTTTAGATGTTGTGTTTCAGTTCCCATGGAATCAGAAATGAAGTTTGCAACATAATTTGTATGGTCAAAAGGCAGATCATTGAATTTCACTTGAATAAGCTGTAGTCTCACTAGAAAATTTGTACTTGCATTCAACAATGTACCGTGTAGTATACATTAGTTAATCTTATAGTTATTTTCAGCTGTGCTTGAGTTTATCCTGATATAGTTTCAGCCTGACCTACTTTAAACAAAGGCAACTCTTTGAAAATTGTTTGGCTTATCTTAATGCCTAGAATGGCCACTGATTTAACAGAAGAAATAGATCTGTCGTTGAAGCATCAAATACAAAATTGAATTCTAATAATCATGAAATGTTGACAATCCTCCAGGTACAACAGAACTCCAATTTGCTGTACAACTGAGCACATTAAGAAACTGATTCCAGGAATAGTTCTGAAGCGGAGAGATGGTGAGCGCTTCATCTGGGCTACTGACATCCAATACCATACAGATGGCTTGGAAAATTCTTTTGGTGACCGTACCTTGTAACTTGTACCCCAAACACAAAATTATTTTTGGAAGAGATGATGCACTGTTTTAAACCAAAAATGTTATTCATTCTCATTCTTCAAGTTGTTTTATATTTATTGGGACACAATTTTATATAAATAAATTACAACACACAAATACTCATAACTATACTAACAATCTCAAAATCAAATTAGCGGAAAGTTTCTATGAGTGGAATTTAATATTTTTGGCTGATGTGATGTTTGCTGGAGGAGGCATTTAACCAGGCAAAAGTCACATGGATGGCTTTCCCACCCTACTGCCACTTGAATGCCTTAAGTGGGGATTTAATATTTTAATAAAGGGCTCCATCCTGCCACTGGTGGTATTAAACCAAATAGCAAGTGCAAGACCCACCCCACGGGAAATATGACAAACTATATCTTACAGGGTGGTAGCCTTGTTCAAAGACACAGTCTCTGACAGAGGGACCTGGCGTCAAGAAGTGGCGGTGGTGTAGGGTCGGCATGCCATTCCTTTGTCCGAGCTACTGAATCCTTCATTTCCAAGATACCGACCTCATGATTCTACTGTCATTATTACTGTGGCCTGAAGCATTGACACTGGGTCTTGAGGTGGCACTACTGTTCAACCCAAGCTGCCAGTCTCTGATTAGCTAATAGTTTTTGATGGGTAGGACTTCTGCCTTCGGTTCCTTGATCCTGGGAAAGATTTGCTGCTGACAAGTTAAGAGCCTGAATGGTACTTACTTGAGTAGATAGTTGCCAATGCTCATCCACTGGTGGGTGAGACAACAGTTCCTTCCATTATATCCAGCACTGTATGATAAGGAGTCCATGCCCCTTCTGGCAGGGGTACACTTTACTTCTCTAAGTATAACAAGTTCAGATACAAATTGGCAAGTGTGGAAAAGTTGGATTTAGAGACACCTGGAAGTATACAGAATAGTACTAGAGTTTAACCCATTAAAACCATGAGACTTACTGTGTTTTGAATAATTATTTCAATGGCTACTCTTGATTTCTCAAGAGCTTTTTAATTTTCAAGGACTACGTTTTTGTCTTTATTCTCACCAGCTGCTGTTTCAGACGATGCAGTTACACAGTAACATTACTTTCTGCATTTGTGTTACTTTTTTGGGGGTGTTTCTTCCTTTGAAAGATAAGATAGCACAAATATTGAAGATTTCATACATACAATATATTTTAGTAAATCTTTAAACTTGGGAATCTATAAATGTGTTTCGTTAATTCATTGTAAACAAGTCTTCCATCCTCTGGATCTTTCTGTACATTCACCAAAATAGATAGTTGATAAATTTATGTAAAAATGATGTAATATTAATCCTGATTTTCCACGAATTATGAAACTAGTAAAGATATAATTTGTAAATAGCTTCCTGAAAAAAAAATTGTAAAAATTGAATGTAAAATGCCAACTGTCATTTAGGGAATCGATTTGTAGATTATCTACAACTTTGTCTTCTCTGCCTCTACCCATAGAAAATATTTAAAGACCCTGATTCCCTCCCATTTACAGAAAGTCATTTTGTGTGGCCTCTCCTCTCAGCCTATTGAGTAAAACAAGTGGTTATAAGTTCCAATAAATTTGGACAGCAATGGATAAAGTTACAAGATGAGCAAGCATTGAGGAACCTATTTTCCCGATCATTTGTGAAACAACAGATAGCGGTGTCTGGCTGTTTGCTCATTCCTATCTCCACCCCTGGGCTCTGTGCCCCACCCCAACCCGTCAGCCAACATTTGGACTCTGCTCCTTTCCTCACTCCCCCAAGGTGCAACTCAATCTCGACCCCGATGGGTACTCAGCACAGTGAATAGCCACTGCTTCACTGGCATGAAATTCTCCTGCAAAGTGGCCCAGGGAATTACCAGAGTAGTTTCTCCAGCTATGTCTATTCCTTCTCCCCCACTTTTTGCTCCTCCAATCACAGATTCTGTCTCCGCAAGATTCAGAGGGAGGGAATCTGTGATGAGTGGAGCTAGAGCAACCTGCATTGGGAGATAAAATCTCTGATTGGATGAGCAGCTGCTTACAGATGTACATGAATGTCTTTTGTGGGCATTTTCAGGGGCAAATTCATTTGCTTCCCCCATGTATTTTGAGTTTTGCAGCTTACCCTGTAGTGCACCCATTCCTGCACATACACCCAGCATCAGTCTGCCCATTAAGACATGGTTTATAACATGGTTATCAACCACTATATGTAAAGAATCCCAGTCGTAGTGACAGGAATACCCTTGGCAGAATCCATCAGTGAACTGTACTGGCTGGTCATGGTCCTGGTCACAGTGATCTTTCCTGGCTCTCAGGTATCAGATTGTTGCACGTGTCAAAGAGAAAGGAATTTCAGCCATGGCCTCTGGATATGTAGTTTTGCCCAGAGATCAAAAAAAGTCTTTTCAACTGTTTACTGTTTGCTAAGACCATTTCTGGGTGCAGAAGGGACAGGTTGCACCTGAACAAGCCTGGACAAGTATCACTATGGGAAGTTTCACTGGTGTTGTTTGGGATTGTTGGAATGGGGTATCATGAGAAGAGAGTTGTATCATATTACATAGAAATGGATTGAAAAGGATGATAAATACAAAAGCAAGTTTGCAAGGCATGTGTGTAAATGCACAAGAGCATGGTGAATAAAGTTGTGAGTTAAATGCACAAACAGCCATGCTATTGTGGCAACGACAAAAATGTGGCTTAAAATGACAACAGCTGTGTGAAAAAATATCAAAAATATAAAGATAGGCATGGGAAACTAGGAGGTGATTGAGCTTGGAGGGATTGATTAGGCAAGCCATTGCAATGTTGGAAAAAGAGATGTCCTTTTGGGGGCAAGGACAGAGTCTTTTTGGCTAGAGTTGCAAAGCAAAAAGTATATGATCACACTATGAGGGATATTCTGTAGATCTCCATATCATGAAAGATGGAGGAGCATATCTGCAGGGAAATCACAGATGTGCAAAAGCAAAAATGTTTTGGGGTCTTTAATTACCTGAATATTGCTTGGGATGATGCCATTGAATAGTGTGTAAAGAGGAGGAGGAATTTTGTTCCTGGCCTAACAGTAAAGGAGGCATTTGCTGGATCTGAAGCTGAAGAATGTCCAAGTGCTTGTGGGGGAACGTTTGCTTCGAGTGATCAGTGAATTCTAAAATTTAGATTATTAGAGGAGAAGAACAAGGGTCAATCTAAATTAGAACATCTAAACTGGAAAAGGATCAATTTAAATGGTATGACAAAGGATCTAGCCAAAGCAAATGGAATCCAAGACCTACAGGAAGAACGGTAATGAAATAGAGTGAGCCTCAAGCCGGAGATGCTTAAGGTACATGTTAAGTATATTGCAACAAGCATGAAAGGCAAGGGAATCAATGTTTTGGGTGATGAGAAAAATAGAGAAAATTCTGAAGCACTTCACATAAACTCTTCATGTTCGGACCAGGCCAAATACAACAGGTTGAGAGTGGAAGTGAAGAGAAAAATAACACAGCAAAGATATAACATGATAATAGGATAAAACCCCCAAATCTTCTAGGACTGCGCAGTTCGGACAACATCAGAGTATTTGCGATACATGGACTCCCAGAAGTATTGGTCACAGATAACAGGCCATCATTTACCAGCAGGGAATTTGAATATTTTCTTAAGTTGAATAGTTTTTGACATATAAGGACAGATCCATACCATCCATCATCCAATGATGTGGCAGAGAGCACTCCAAACTTTGAAGGCTTAAAGAGATAACCTGCAGCTTCACTAGATGCTGAACTGTCCTGGTTCCTATTTGATTATAGGACCACCCCTCATGCAACTACACAGTTGCTAACAGGCTGCAAACACCACACCATCTGATCTTCACAGACGTGCAGGGGGAGGATGAAGCAGCATTAGGAACACCAATGGTGGACATAAGACTCTGCTAAGCAAGAGAGACAGATACTTCAGAGGACAAAGTTTGGTGTAGGAACCACAGGAATGGCCCTGCATGGGTAAAAAGCATGGTCGATGTGAGGTCAGGTCCAGTGATGTATAACGTTCAAGTAGGAGCGACAATCCAGAACAAGCACATGGGCCTAATGAAAGCTGCAAACTCACAAACGGTGAGGGAACAAAACATGTCAAGCTCCTCAACAGCCTCTCTGACTGTTCTGAGTAGGTTCTCCCTCTCTGTCAAACATTGAAGGTACCTCAGAATCTGAGATGGACACAGCAGATGTTGCTGCCTCGACACCTTTGCCACCTGAAGAAGAGAATGAATTTCTTCCGAGACATTCCAGGCACGAGAGGTGAGCTACTGTACGTTACACACGACTTGTATCAGAAGCAGAGTCGGTGGAAACTGACCGGGTGCTAAAACACCCCAGGAGGAGCTACAAAAAAGAGAACTGACCTATGTCTTTGGACCCAGAGGAGAAGGGATGTAGTGATTGTAATGAGATTAACCAGGTGGATCTCATACAATACGAGTTCCCTGATTGGGGCTGTTAATCTGGTCCAATCAGGGAGTCCTGGCTGACAGATAAAAACAGGAATATTAGACATCCTGTTCACTTTGAGGGAGCTGGATCAGTGTCAATGACTTTCCACATGTAAATAAAGGGTGACTTGGTGATGGGATACGGGCCTCTGTGGAGTTATTTCATTTAGGTTGGGCTGCAAATGCTACTCTAGCCAGCAACATCCACATCCTGTAAATTAATAACTTAAAACAGAAAATACTTTGTATCTATGCTTTTCAGGAATAGGATACTGACAAAGTTATGGGGGTATAGACAAGGTGAATAGCAAGGGTATTTTCCCTCGGGTGAGAGAGTTTAAAACCAAGGGGCATATTTTTCAGGTGAGAGGTGAAAGTTTTTGAAAGGACATGAGGGGCAAGAGTTGGCCCAGTAATCTTGGCAATCAGGAACACCGTCC